GAGATGACTTGGAAGGTTGACATCAAGGACAGTCTTGAGTAGAATGAGGATATGTTGAGGGGGCGTGATATCTTTCATAGCTTTTTCATGCTCTCTTTTATGCTTCTAGTATGTCCTTCAGACTCCATTGCATTTGAAGATCCCAGTAAGTGGGTTAGCACATCAAGCTGAAATGTCGGGAGTATAACCCGTTGGACAGCATTGTTGATGAGATCAGCTATGGTATATGCGACATCTTGCAGCAGACACTATTGAGCAGACGGGGCAGTCCAGATTGTTGAGTCACCGTTTGTTCTAGTCTGCATCATTGGAGTGGTCACGAGATTCTTCTGTTGGAGAAATCTAGAGCCCTATTTGCGGATATGTGCATTGGGCCAGATGTGTGTTGCAGCCCCACAGGAACACTTTGCAGGAGGCCAGGATTTATGAGACATTGTATGCCTTTTTGTTCGATTTCGGGCGCATTCTCTCTTCATCTTCATGGGCCCGTGGTCTGATAGACCCCTCAGAGATTGCTGCTGAGAAAGTTCCATCATAACCCATAAAAATTCATTGCGGATCCTACCTGTGCATGGTTAGCGGACTGTTTTTTGGCTTGACTGGGCAACATCTATGTTTTGGTATCTTAGGATCGTCAGTTTGATAGGTTTTTTTGTGCTTTGTAAAACTGGCCTTGTTGACATTAGCTGTAAATAAAATGTACTATTCTAGCCTAGCAGGTCAGAATTGGAGGTGGATTTCTTTATCTTTGTACACTTTTTTTTACACTTTGGATACGTTAGTATTTATCATTTATCAATTAATACTTCCCATTGTAGATTGCTTTCTCCTTAAAAAATTGTTTGGTATTGTATTCCATGGGTGTTGCACACAAGCGTGTGCGGGTATGCATCAGGCATGGCTTATTTGATGTTGTTGTTTTGCTGAACAGCAGCCAGAGGGGTTGGTTTTGCGATATGTGTTGTTGAATTGATTTTGAAACGGTTTTCTTTCCAGTTTTCATCTTAAGCTCTCTTATGTGGCTAAATGGAAATTTTATGTTGAATATTTTTTAAAAATTTTGGCAACATAAAATGGCTATTGGTTTTTCTTCATTGTTAACAATATTGCCTATATTAATGGCCAAATCTAGTGGTTGTATAGGCATGGTTAATATAGTTCTGCACTATGTTCAATATTTTTTTTTTTATATTAATATTCCTTTTATGACTGATTTGCTGTGCAGGCCAAGAGACAGAGACGTTCTTGTGTGATTTATATGCTTTATTATCTTCATTCTTAGACATTGATGACTTACCACCTTCACGAGCATGGTTAATCTCGTTATGCACTATGTGCAATATTAGTTTTCATATAAGTATTTCCTTTTTTAGCTGCTAGCTGTGCATAGCAGCAGTAAAGCTTTTGTACAGAGCTAGCGGAACACACATTCTAGCTTGATTCATGTGCTTTGTTATCATCATTCTTAAACATAATGTCTTGCTAGTTGTTCTAGCTTTCCATTCTTTGTTTGAGTTCACTTTTTTATATTCTTACTAGCTCAGTCCAGCAAAGATGTTCACTTTTCTTTTATCTCCTATCATATTGTTCAATTATGCATGAGATCATATAATGAATTTAATTTCTTTAAGCTAACTTCTGTAGCTTGAAATTTCCATTTTTATCCTTGTTACGACTCACCTTCTCTTTCATGCTGTGTTGCAGGTTCGTGCTGTATTGGAGAAATACCCTCCATACCAGTCAATATTTTCTAAATTATCTTATGGAGAAAGCCAAATGTTGGACAAGGCATTTTACGAGGAGGAAGTGAAAAGGCTTTGTTTGGCATTTGAACAGCAGGTTTGACCGTTAAATGTTTTAGTTAATATTAATGTTTTAATTCCTGTTTAACACTTATCAATTTATTTTTGGATTTACTGCGTCAGCAATGCAATTTGAAGCTTTTTTTCCTATAAACTCTCCCATTTTGCACTTAATTGTTAACTTAGGAGTGATTCATTTATTTGAGCACATTTTATATTTTTCATTTTGTTTTTCTCCTTCAACCCCCTCTTTGTCATCCGTTCCAACTGCTCGAAAGAATATCTTTACATGTTTTTTCTTTTATCAAATTGGATCAAAGCGGGTCTGCTGCCTCATCAGAAACAGAGAATACAAACTGAATCATATAACGTGGTAAATATTCCATATTGTCCAACAATTATCTGGCTTTAAGCTCTCACACCTCTGTTTCCAGCCAGGGTCTATAGATCGGACGATCGGTCCTCTGTGAAAAATGAGGATGCACTGAGTTTTCTTCAAGAGTTCAAAATCTAGAGAGAAATGAGAATGCTGCAGTGCTGCTTAATCTCTGATTGGACTTCTCATTTGCTTGATGATAAGATTCTATTTTCCTGCTAATCTTAATTCTCTTTGCCCAGCCCCTCTTTCATTCTGTTTCATCTGTGCTTTCGATCTTAACATATTAAATTTTAAGGATTAATTTGGAATTTTGTAATTCTATATATATTAATTCTAAAATAGTTTTAGCTTATCATGTAGCACTATTTTTATAAAAGGGATTTCAATGATTTTTAATTTTATCTAATTAAGAATTAAAGTTGAATCAAGATTCCTTTATTCGCCTCTCTCACCTCATGATTCTCAAGGAAATCAAAGCCCTCTTTCTAACATGATTGCCAAAGGCATTGTTTCTATCTCTATCTTTATCACTTTTTCTCATCTGATTCTTAGAGAGAGTATCAACTAAGGCTCATCATCAAATCTACATTAGTTTGGTATTAAGAATGGTCTTTTTCTACATCATTTGTTATCTAGTTGAAATTCATGAAGGTTGTATATAAACCCTAACCCTAATAATAATAATACTAGGTGAGAGGCGAAATTCCACCCATTATAGCTCTTACACAAACACTTTTTTCCAAATACAGTAAAAAAAAGCCATCAATTCTAACCCTAATAATTATCCTTAATCCTAACTATCAACCATAGTCATACTAGGTGAGCAATCATCTTTCTAAATTCAATGCCCTAATTTGTTAGATTCCAAACAATTTCTTAACGACTTATTATTCTACAAACGATATGAGATTTAGGCTTCTTTTGGGATGGCTCTCTCAGTGCTTCTTAAAACAACTTTTTAGTATAAAAATTAAAATTTTTATAACTAAAAAGCTGCTTTAAGAAGCAATGAAAAAGAGGTCCCTAGGCTTCGTTTGGACAGCTTTTTACCCTCATAAATATATATGATTGGAATGTTACACACCTACTTTCCTCTCCTAACTATGCTTAAATGGCATCTTTATGCAGTTCCATTATGCAGTTTTCTTTGCATACATCAGACTGAGGGAGCAGGAGATCAGAAACTTGATGTGGGTATCAGAATGTGTGGCCCAGAATCAGAAATCCAGAGTTCATGACAGCGTTGTTTTTATTTTTTGATTCTTCAGTTCTGCCTACTTCAAAATCTTCCTCTCCGTCTCTGTAATGTTGCTACCACCAAACTAAAAGTACCATCATTTTATGTATTCTACATAGATGTTATACTTTCTGGTTGTGACATTTGTTTGCTATAAAATATTTGCTGTTCTAATGGTTTTGCTCAGTTCTGCTAGGATGGATTTTATTTGTTGGATTTGCTTTTAGATTAGTAATAACATATGGAAGACAACAAAAAAATATCCACTTATTTTGTTAAAATTTGAACCAGTTGGAATGCTGTAGGATTGCTCAAAACCCGCAGGCTTTTGCATTGTTCCCCTACCTGTTAGCTTCCCAGTGTTGTCAATTTGGACCTTAATATCTTCCTTTTTTAAGCCTTCAAATCACAATGAAATGAGTGATTAATTGTGAAACAAAATAGAGTTGTGTTGGAGGCAGAATAAAATTTTCAAATGAGAATGAGAACTTTTATAATTTGCATAGTTGAGGGGGATTTGTGTAAAATTTTCATGCTATGTATATAACTAATAGAGCCTTTGTTTTTTCCAAAAAAATTTATAATTTTGGAGACTTTCAATTTGGAAGAGGTAGAATGGAGGAAGAATTCTTTGCTTTAGTGCTTAGAGATTATGAATATTAGTAGTTTTATTATTATTTTTTTTTTATTTAGGGGGTATTTGGAATTATTTGCTTTATAAATATATTTATATTCGTTATAATTTTCTTATATTTTTCACCCATCATATAATAGATTTGGAAATATTTATTTTTTTCACCTATCAATGTGTCTTATCGAAGCTCTTCGTATGAAATATTGGATTAATTTGATGCAAATATTAGGGGAAGATAAAATTTTATATTCTCATGTGAATAATTTGTTTTTAAAAAAAAAGGTCCCTTATCAAGCATATGATAGCTATGGCTAATTAAATAATTTTTCAAAGAAGAGCTTTGGATGAGTAAACCATCATTAGAAAGGTTAAAAATCTCATTAATAAAACTAATCATGAAGAAAGGATATTGATTAACATGATTGAGAATAATAACAAGTTTGAATGCATTTATAATTAATAAATTCATAAACTATAATAATATAATATGTATTTATAATAATAAGTCAAAAATAATGATTTCCATATATTCTAAAATGAAAACAATGAAAATTCATGAATTGTAATATATATATAAGGAGTTTATAGATATATCATAGAATTTTTATGCTTTATATATCTAATAATTAAATATTTATATTAATTTATATAAGAGCTAACATTTTAAATTATATAAAAACTATCATTCATATTTATTTAAAAAAAAATTGATTAAACTTTGAAAATGTTATATAAATAAATATAAATATTTATGTATTAAATATATAAATTACATAAAATTTTGCCTACTTTTATTTTTTATATTCTCACCCAGAAGTTAAAAATTTATGAAAAAGTTCTCAATCCGTGTTTCTTATTTTAGTCAAATTTAGTTTTCGTAAATATCCAAAAATAAAAAAATTAAGCGTACGAGACATTAGGGTTTTTGTTGGCCGCCTCGGCCCGGCCTTCAAGTACCTCTATAAATATCTCCCGTCTGCATTTTCCCTTTCTTCTCAGAGGCCACTCATTTCCCCTTCGTTCTTCTCGCTGTATCTAAAGGCTCGCGGTTCCTAATCTTGGTAAGATGGGTCCTGGTCTCTACTCGGAGATCGGCAAGAAGGCTAGAGGTTTTCCTAATTTCTCATATCTCTCTCTCTCTCTCTCTCTCTCTCTCTCTCTCTCTCTCTCTCTCTCTCTCTCTCTTTGTTTGTCTCTTCTAATGACGGTTTTATTTTCCATTAGCTTTTGATTTGTTTGTTCCTGTTACTGTCAGATCTTCTGTACAAGGATTTTTTAACCGATCAGAAGTTCTCTGTCACGACCTACACGGCAAATGGAGTAGTGAGTTTTCTAAATTGATGGCTTCGTTTGTCGGCTAAGTTTATTATTCCGCTAGCATTAAATTTTCCTATTGATTGAGCAGTGTGATCATGTTAGTAAATCTTACTGGTCCTTCCTGCGAATTCTGGTGATTTTCTTGTTAACAGATTGCCTTGTATTTTAAGCAGGAATGAAAGTAATGGAATATTTGGCTACAAGCAGGATTTAATTCAATAAGATTCAGTAAATTCTGTAACTCTGGATTTCGTAAATTCTGGGTGTTTTATCCTGAAAATTGTATAGCATGATGGATGCTAAGTCTGGTTGAATCCTGCTTAATTATTGGCAGTTTTTTTTTTCAGGATTTAGGAATTTTAGAATTTGAATGAATAGAAGATTAAATAGTTATATAAACGTTTACAGAAACATAATTAAACAAAATAATTAATAATAAAAAATTGATTAAGAAATGACTGCTTTTATTATACTATTTAGAATTAAGGATATATTTAATAATATTAAAGGTATATTAATGCTTAATGGTAATTATATCAAAATATTTAACTAATGGTTATGAGTATGATTAATTACAAATTGACTATTTATTAAGCTTAAATAAAAATTAGTTAAGAGTTTAGTCAAAATGATTAAAACATTAGTTTTGTTTAATTGAGCTATTTAAGCTTAAATACCTAATTACTTAAAATGCTAATTTAGTTATGGTATATAAATATTAAATATAACCTCTTCTTCGCCCCCCTTTGATCCTACCCAATTCTTGGAAACTTCTGAAAATCAGCAAAGCCTTGGTGGGAGCTTGATAGGAGAAGACATTGACACAATTGATAGCGTGTGAATGATAAGAGGAAGTTGGAATGGGAGCTTACTAGTTGAAGACATTGACAAGACTGACAATGTGCTGAGGAAAGAATTTTTTACAGGAGTTCACTAGGAGAACATATTAATGGGGCCATCAACATGTGAAGGAGAAAAGGAATTTGCGATTGGAGTTTGTATTTCCAATTTAAGTTAAATATGTCAAATCCCTAGATTTAGTTTTTTCGAGATTTAGAGTAAAGCAATGCAGAACAAATTTAAATAATTGGAGTAATCTGGCCCCCAATCCTTGTTGCTGAAAGGACAAGCTTAAAAGCTTCTTGTTACCTATCTTCTTTATGTATATGTGTAATAGATGCATGTATTTGTTTATCAAATATGAAATCTGAATATGATACCTACTTACAATTTGCCACATTAGTAATGTGCATTTGCAAATGAATTATCCATCAATGAAGTTTACGATGCATAATGCCTAATCAGAAGATTTGTAAATCCTAAGCTTTATAAATGTCGCATAATGACTAGTGGCAAACTTTCTCCATCAATAATATAACCAATTGATGTTGTTTAGTTAGGTTAATGATCAACATTCACAATTGTTGGCATTTGTTTAGACCCAATAGGAAGGGGCATGCATTGGGATAAAAGCAGTCACAAAACTTAGAAGTATTTTGCTATGCTTTTTAAGGTATGTATTTGTCTCAATCCAAAGATTAATTCAAAGAAGAGTGAAAATTTGTGAAATAATGAATATGCAAATTAAATGCCTTTTTAATCAAAGCTATGCCTATTCTCCAAGCATACACTAGGTTATTTGTCTGTTGGCTTCTTCAAGGATAAAGTAAAATACTCTCATGCACCCTTTTGGATTAAGGAGAAGAAACCATGATCCTTTTTATGGGATTCATGAATCAATCCTATAACTTGTCTTTTTCAAGGTTTAGGAAGAATCTTTTAGAAAAAAGACAGTAAAGAGATGAAATGCTTGGGAAACCAACTTAATTGGTTATAATTGCTAGAATAATTACAATGGTAGAGTATTCCACTCCAAAGTAAATATGTAAAAACCACTGTAAAACTTCAAGTGCTGAAAAATAAGCCATAGAATTGCTATTTTAGTGAAGGTGTTTATGTCCATCTTTTAGTTGTTATTTATAGATGTATGGAAAGCTTGTCAAAAAAGATAAGGAAGATTTTCAAATTTAAGTTCTCCATTGGGCATGTAAGGTGGACAAACTGAGCTATACCTGCACAATAAAAATAGGAAATTTGACTGATGAAGCGTGTAGTGTTTATTCATTAAAAATATGTTTTGGGTAAACAAAAAAATATTCAGAATTGAATGGATGATTTGTTGGTGAGCCTTCTGTTTAAGCATATAGATGTAAAAGGATGGTACGTTTTAAGGACTAAAGCTTTGTGTCTATGAATGAAGGAAAAAATAGGGGATTTTAATGGTGGACCACTACAATTGGATGACCAAGGTTGGAGTTTCCTATTATATCAATAGGACAGTGAAATATGTGATGAAATCTCTACGGAATTAAAGAGGGATGTGTATTATGGATATGCGATTAATGGTAGTAATTAATTTTTTATATTATTAATTTTTGTAGATTTTTCTGATTCTATTTTTTAAAAGATCTACAAAATGGTTATCGTGTCATCAGATTAATGAGGGTCTTTTTTCTTTCAAATGGCCCTTGAATTATTTGATTTCTATTTGAATTCACTCTTAATGAAGAGAGAGATGATTCAGGCTGTTAGAGAGAAAACAATTGGGTAAAAGGATCAGCATACTGGGAAATTATATATATATATATATATAGAGAGAGAGAGAGAGTTTTGTTCTTGGATTTTTGCAACATGGGAGTGAAGTGCCTCAGATAGTGGAGAGATTATTTTGTGCGGAATCCGAATGTATTCAGAGACGAATCCGGATGCACCATGCGACCGGATGCACTGGGCCCTGGTGATGTGGCATGCCCGGATTCGCCTCCGAGCACATTCGGATTACGCACAAAATAATTTTCTCATATAGTGAGTCTCGGAATTGCGAAAGTTATTCCTAGAGAGATAGAGGATGTGATGTGAGAGATGAGAGAGAAGGGATTATATTAAGGGAATTTTTGGGAAAAGTGAATATAGCTCTAATTTTCAATTCACAGTATGTTAATTATTTACAATGCATTCATATTTCTATTCATGTTGCAATGTTACATAGTGTATTCTAATTAATTCAAATTTAAATTTAGAAAAAAATTTCATAAAGATTTAAATATTACCATCAAAATAAAATAAGATAATCTCCATGAAAGGATAATTGAATCAATTAAATAAAATGTTAGAAATAATCCAATATATAACTAGAATAATCCCTAACTAAGCCTAAACAAAATTGATCATCCAATTCTTTGCTATAGCATTTATAATACATTTTTTGTTAGGTCATCTCCAACCGAACGCTAAACAAGTGTATGGAGTCGTTCCGTCCCTCCAACCGAACGCGAAAATTTCCGCCATTTAATTGCAGGTGAACAATGGGACGCCAACTGTTCACTCACGTCATTTTTTGCTCTCAACCGGAAAAACGCGCGAAAGGAGAGCGATCAATACCTTCTCAAAAACACCTAAAATGGCGTTTGATTGGAGCATCACCACTCCAATTTTGGAGTTTTGCGTTACTTTGCCGTGAAAAAAATGAAGTTTTCAGTTGGAGATGCCCTTAATGAAATGTGTGATTTTGCAAAAAGAAAGCTGGGATTTCAAATTGAATCCAGAATGTTAGGATACTCTAATTCAGATTTGATCATAAGGAATTTTATAATCATTAGATTTATTTTAATGCGAGCACAATATATAATTAAGCCCTCATATCAAAATAAATTTGATAATTATAAATCCCATCATCTGAAATAATCTTTTTGTTCTGTTTTTCTTGCTTTAGCCTCCTTTTTATTAAATTTGTATCCTGTTGTTTCATGTTGCAGGTCATAACCGCCACAGGGACAAAGAAAAATGATTTCATCTTGGGTGAGTTACAGTCACAGCTGAAGAGCAAGAATGTCACTGTCGATTTGAAAGCCAACTCAGAATCCAATGTAAGACTATCATTTATTCAGCGTTTGTTTGCGTGTTTTTTTTTTTTTTTTTCATTTTAATAGAGATGCACATTCTCAATAAGTCTGAAGAGCGATCAGAAGATGGAAAAATTATTCTTTGTCACCGAATGGTCCAAAGTCAAATCAGAATGCGCCATGTCCTCAAGTACTGATCGGTATATAGCAAAAAAATGACGTTACGTGTTCTCATTCGAGTCTGGATGGACTGCAAAGAATAATTTCTCCATAAGATGAGCTATTTGTGCATCTCATATAAAAAAATAACATCCTCTTACCTCCGATTATTATATTCACACTCAAATATAAAAAGCTCACACCAAAATCACATAATTCATTGTCCACTTTCTAAAAAAAAATTATATGAGTATTAATTTTGTAAATGAGAAAAGTTTTTGGTCTTATGTGTGTAAATATTCCGTAAACAATTAAGAAAAATAACAACCATACGTCCCAAATTTTCTTTATTTCATATATAACACCTTAACAAAGGATGCACTAGCAAATTCATATTACGCCTGTATTGTCAACTTATTGTGAATTTAATGAAAGCAAAAATATTTGTTGGATTTTTGTTCTTCTCTTCAAGATTTAGGCTTTGTTTGGGACAGCCTTCCTGCTTTTTAAAATAACTGTTTAGTACCAAAATTTCTGAATTATAAAATTTGTACTAAAAAATCATTCTTAGTTAGTTTTATAAATATGCAAGATTTGGGTGCTACACATATAATTCTCCTAAAAAACATGAGTTTTTCCAATTGTGTTTTTTAGCTGGTGGGATTATAACTTCCAATGTTCTACTTTTCCCAGGTTTTGACTACATTTACCATTGATGAACTTGCGACTCCTGGTTTAAAAACAATCATCAGTTTTGTTTTACCAGACCAGAAATCTGGCAAGGTTAATTTTCAATTTTTTTATTTCTTTTTTCTAACCTTGCAACTATTTAATAAGGCCCATTTGTTCACTCTTCACTTTCTCTTAAATTTCAGGTTGAGCTACAGTACCTGCATGATTATACTGGTATTAGTGCCAGTCTGGGCTTGACTGCCAACCCTGTTGTTAACTTTTCTGGATCAATCGGCTCAAATAAACTAGCCGTTGGTGCTGATGTATCACTGGATACAGCTACTGGAAACTTCACCAAGTACAACGCTGCTCTGAACCTCACCAATGAAGACCTTATTGCTTCTTTAATCCTGTGAGTAACTCGCTTAGCTTTTTCTGCTTCTTTAAAAGATAAAAGAATTTTTAGACCGAAAATTTGTTAGGATGGGCAAATTATTACGTCCGGTGTCCGGATTCGTCCGGACATCAATCCAGATGCGCCACATCACCAAAATACATCAGGTCCCAGTATATTTGGGTGATGTGGCGCATCTGGATTGGATGTCCAGACGTCCGGTGACCAGACGTAATAATTCACCGTTAGGATGGGTCTTGAAATGATCAAGTTTGCTATGGAATGAGTGTCATGTATAAGTATTTAGGGCATCTCCAACCGAAAATTTCATTTTTCACTCCAAAATGCAGTGAAACTCAAAAATACCGTGATTCATGTCCAATCGAACTCTATTTTGTGCGCCTCTGTGAAGATAATATTCTCCTCTTTCGTGCATTTCTTCTGCAAATCTGATTGAGACAGAAAAATTGCATAGGTGAACAGTGCAACATGCTAATATTGGCGTCGCACTGTTCACTCTCTACCGATTAGTGATTTTTTTGCTGTTCGAATGGAGCAAAACAGCTACACTTTATAGTCGTTTGGAGTTCGGCTGGTCGTAGACGACCTTAATCAAAATTTATAATGCATTGATCATTAAAATCGTTGATTTTGTTTTGAGATCCTAAATTTTTGTCTTGAAAGCTAAAGTGAAGACATTCATTCTCTTGCTACAGTAGCGACAAAGGAGATAATCTGACTGCTTCCTATTACCATCTCGTGAGCCCACTCACAAGCACTGCAGTTGGGGCAGAGTTAACTCACAGCTTTTCTTCCAATGAGAACACTCTAACCTTTGGGACTCAGCATGCGTTGGATCCCATTACTACAATCAAGGCCCGCTTCAACAACTATGGCAAGGCCAGCGCTTTAATCCAGCACCAATGGAGGCCCAAATCGTTGATAACCCTCTCTGCTGAGGTCGACACAAAGGCCATTGAGAAAAGCTCTAAGGTCGGTCTTTCCCTTCTACTTAAGCCTTGAGAAATTTCTTGTCAATTTTCAATGTTGTTGCACCACTGGTTGGTTCCTGCTGTTGTCTTGAATATAATTATTTATTTGGAATAGAACAACAAGGGCTTCTGTTTTATGTTTAATTTTTATTTTTGAAATTGTTTTCAGCATTGACCGTTTTATTTTTATCATTTTTTCAAACCCATGCACCAATTTCGACTTATTCTATTATGTATGTTGATATGTATGATGCCATGAAATAGAGTCAAATGTTAGAAAGACTTGTTATCTAGCAAAGGTCCGAAAAAGGGTTTGGTGAGGCTGTTAGCGATAGTCTTAAGAGAGGGAGTTCTTATGTTCATTGACTCTAAACATTAATGAAGGATTCAAATTATTAATACTTAAAAAAAAATCATCATAAATAAGAATACAAAGATGAATCATATAAGCGCATTATCATGTGATGGAACTCCTTTTGCAACTTTAATAAAAACGTCCTCTAAGGTAGTATCGGCTAAGCCCCAAGCCTGAACAGTGAAACTTACCTTTGCGTGCTCCACTGCTCTGAAAACATTAGCAATTTTGACCTCTTGTTTTGGCAATTCGTACTTCTGAGTTCCTGAGATTTGATAAATCTTCTTAGCATTCGGTGACAGTTTTTGAACTAATAAGTCTACTTCTTCCTCTTCATTTGAGGATGTGGTCATTGTGAACACATAGGTGCCTCCATATCTTGCCTTCAACTGCAATTGATTAATAAAGAATTTTATATAGTTGTACTTCAATAAAATTTTATAAGTGGTGAGGGAAGATGATGCAGTGTAGGGGCAATGAAACATGTGGGATGGTTAGTCTGTGCAAACAAATGAGTATTAGGGGCTAAGGAATTTAACCAGATGCTGGCTAGTGTGCGACAACGAAGAAGGCAATGTGGCTGAAAAAAAAAAAAAACATAGGTGAGGTGGTGAGGGTTGTGAAAATACGTGTTTGGGAGCGAGGGATTTAGACCGATGTGGGTTAGGATTAATTATTCTGTGCGGACGTTGAACGCTGTCTGGAGACCAATCAAAATGCATCATGTCACCCCTTGCTCGGAACTGCGGCTCGTTACTTCTCGGTATTGCGGCTCGGTATTGTTGACATGGCACATTCTGGTTGGTCTCTATATGCCATTTTATGTCTGCTGCGCACAGAATAATTTCTCATGGGCTAGGGTGCAACGGCTGGGGATGCAATGAGAGATGTTGGGTGGTGCACGTGAACACAATTAGGGGACTGATTTAGATGGATTTAGGCAAGCTAAGGGTTGAGTGGGCTACAAGCATGAGATTCGAAAACAAATAGATGTTTTGATATATTCAAAAATTATTATTTTTTTAATATTTTAAATCCCATAAAATTTTGTTCCATATTTTTTTTCTTTCAAAGTAAACATAATTTTTTTTTTTTTTGAGTGCATATACATCCAATCCAAGTAGGGGTGTCAATAATAGACATGACCCGTCAATTAAACTCAAAAATTTTAGGTTCAAGTCGACTTGTTTATGAAATGGGTTGGAATTAGGTGATGTTTTTGGCCTATTTATTAAACGGATTAAATTTGAATTGATTGGATTCGGATCAAATCAATTTCAGGTTAGACTCTAATTTGATCCGTCTACCCATTTTGACACATCTAAATCCAAGATGATATTACACTCCTGAGAGGAGAGACTTGAACCCTGGTGGCTTACCTCTTTTGGATTCCCTATGCATTGCAAACTTCCAGTTACAAAAATACCAAGGCGGTCACAGAGCACCTCTGCTTCTTCCATGGAATGCGCTGAAATCAGTGGAAAGTCTAATCAATAACAGAATGAATTTATTAGAATGAAAGCAACTTTCTGATCTAACAAAAAAAAAAAATTTAAGGGAATTTAGTTAGGGAATTTTATAAAAAAATAATGTGTTTTAAATTTAAATTAGTTTAAGTAGTTAGGTTGATAACAAAATTTAAAAAATGAGCAAATATGAAATTTAATTATCCAATTTTAATAGAAACCGGAAAATGTGATCCATTCTTGTAATTCTACTCTCAATGTGATTTAAAAAAAAAACTGGAACTAGAACACAATAAGATTTTTTAAGAAACTGATTTTTAATTTGCATTATGGCATTATTATTAAAAATAAATGAAATTATGTTTTAAATTTTATGAACACGTTGCATATTAATTAATTGATTATGTTTTAAATTTATCTTATATTTATTTTTTAATTATAACTTATTAGTATATTTTTGAAATTAAATTTAAAATTTTATTAAATATTTAAGAAATCTAATATTGTAAAAGAAATTAAATATATATTTTTTATTTTTAAATAAAATAACTGTTTTTATTAATTGATATATTTATAGCTTAACTAAATGTGTCAACAAGACAAACACAACATTAAAGTTTTGGTTTCTATTGAAACCGAATAATTATATTCCGTATATGCTCTTTTTTAAATTCTTTTGTTAATCACCCCTTAAGCTAATTTAAATTTAAAACACACTTTTTTATACAATGCACATTTATTTAGGATTAATCTTAATAAATGTTTATGATAAAATTTAATTTATTAATTTATGCTAATAAATTAGCTCAGGTACGAAGGAGATGTAGCAAAAGAAAATTTTAAAGAAAATTTTAAAATATTAAATTAATTGTCATTTATTCATATTTTTAAATATTAAATCCATTTGAGATAGATGCATTTCAACATTAAACTACACTAAATAAATATTTAAACATTTATTTAATATATTATAATAAAAGAACATTAAAAAGTTAAGAAAATTCTTCAAAAATGCTATATAAAATAACTACATAAAATATATGATGGATTTTCGGTTTAATCAGTTTAATTTCAAAATAGAATATTATAATTTTGGCTCATTTTAAGTTTACACTAAAAAGTAAAGAGTTGTTGATTTTAATGATTTTTAAATTAATTTAAAATCAAATCTATTATTTCTAAACAAATTTATTATTTGTGTATTTAATATTCATATATCGAGTTAATTTTTAATTGAATTGAACTAATTTAGTCTAATTAGAGAGAGAGAGAGAGAGTTAAATGAACATTGAAGAAGGAAAAGAAAGGATACCGTACTTGTAAGAACAATGGCCCTATCTTTCTTTGCATTTTTGATAACATTCCATAGGTTGTTTCTTGATGCTGGATCCAGCCCAGTGCTTGGCTCATCCATGTATACAACCTGAGGAAAAAAAATACAATGAAAATAAATAAAATCATAAGCTTTTTTTTTTTATTTAATGATTATTAGTACAGAAATGAGAAGTTTAGGCTTACTTTGGGGTCACCGATTAGGGATATAGCAACGCTAAGTCTCCTCTTCATACCGCCACTATATTTCCCAACTTGCTTGTCTGCAACTCCACCATGAAACAGATTCACACTCTTCAAGGATTCCTCCACTGCCTACAAAACAGGATGCCAAAGCCTTTTAATGATGAGATCGATTGGTTTCAGAAAGTAACCATGCAAAGATTTTCACATTTTGATGTTACAAATGCATGTTTCCTTCTTTTAAGTGATGAAAGCAGGCAAAAGTTTGAACTTAATTATTTACTAAGACAGCTCTTATTTATCTTCTTAAACAAGGATGAAAGTTTACATGCATTTAGAAGTATAGTTACAAGAGCTATATACAAAAGCTGCTTTCTCGCTTAAATTCAAGCTTTGTTTCGGACAGCTTTCCTATTACTTCTCAAAGCAGTTCTCTGATGCAAAAAAAATTTATTTTTTTACTAAGAAGTTGCTTTAAGAAGCAGCAAAAAAACAACGTCCCAAACAAAACCTCAATCTGCAACCAAGACGAAAAATTAAGTTGACTGGACAAAATATTTGATCAAATAACATCAAAGTTATGAAATTAGCATTCTCTCTCTCTCTCTCTCTCTCTCTCTCTCTCTCTAAATCACTGATAATGTGTATTTCTATGTGCCACAATCAAATAAACTAAGAAATTGATAATTACAAAAAATACGAGCTGAGATTTTATTATGAGTTCCAATATTTGAGTGAGAATTTAAAAAATAGACATAGAAAAGTATTAGTTTAGTAAATAATCAAGATTTTTTTTAAGTGTTATGCATAAAATTGCCACTTTGGTGCCTAACTAAGAACTGTGCGCTCTTTATGATCACTACCTGTATTAGTGCAGCACCTTTGAGATTCTTTAATCGAGCATAAAACAATAGATGCTCCCTTCCTGTTAGAGTTTCCCAGAGCAAGCTGCAACAAAATAATGACAAATGAAAGAGGTGATAATTTATAAAAAGAATAACGAAATTCGAAGAACAGTAAAGGCCTCACTCGTGCTGTGGGCAGACCCCCATGCTTGCATATATTTCATCCATGTTGGACCTAATATCCAATCCCTCAACTAATGCAGTGCCCGAAGTTGGTGTTAGAAGGCCTGTCATCTGTATGGAGGAACAGGGTAAGTTTTTCTTTAACATAGCAGAAACAAAAAAGAAAGACTGTAAAGTTTAAGCAAGGCTGTCAAAATCGGATCACGGGTCGGGTTCGGGTCCAACCTGAAACTGTTTGACCCGACCTGAACCCGACCTGCTTTGGTTTTGGGTTGACCCGTTGATCGGAAGCATGATGGGTCACGGGATAAAAGAGAATTTTTTAACTGACCATATTGATGAATGAAGTCTTTCCTGCACCATTAGGACCAAGCATGCCAAAACATTCTCCAGATGGAACAGCAAGAGATAAACCTTGCACTGCAAGTTTTTCAGGGCTTCCATCTCTTCCAGGGAATTTTTTTGTTAAGGTTATCACAGATGATGGCGTGATTGTTGCTATGTTCCAAAAGTAATTGTTCGACTACTTCTCTCTGGAATAATCAGAGAAGAAAGAAGCGGGAATAGGTTAGATTCAAGATGCAGTGCAAAAAAGACTGAAATCTGAAGAGACATGAAACACATCTGATCTGCATTTATACTTGCGAATTACTACTTTGCCATTTAGAGCTAGTAGGAATCTAGAAGTATCAAATTTAATGTTAAGTTGTGGAGCCTAATTTTTATACCGGGGCCGGGGTTGAAAGAGGGCAAGAATTAGTTGATCAAGTCAACAAAATAAAGGACAACTGAATTCCATTTAAGTTGTTTTAGTTCTAAAAATTCTCGCCCGAATCTATTGATAGTGATTTTAGGTTAAATTTTTAGGATACATTGGATTTCCATGTTATATTCTAAATAAAAAATAATAATAATAAAGGTATTCGATCAAACTAAGAATGATAGATATTACCTCTTTAGCAACATCAGGCCTATCAATTCCGATGAAAACTTTGGAACTTTGTCTTTGTAACATTGATTTTACAGAAGATAACAGATCCTTCTTATCAATGCATTTCAAATTAAAGCCAGGGTTTCTTCTTCCAACGCTAAAGGAAGAAATTTGATCCAAATAATGGGCTAGCAGAAGTAATAAGAGCCATTCAATGGTCATGGTAAGCAAAACATTCTTCAACCCATTCATGCTGTCGCCTAAATTTCCCCAGTGCATACCGGATGTGTTTGTACTATCTCCAGTGAAGGCGTACTGCCCAAACTCATAAAGACCACGATGTAACGACAATCCAGGAACAAGCTCAATAACTACAAGCCAATGTCCTGAAATAGTAATAGAAAAGAAAGCTCAGAGTTATAATTTTGGAATATAAAACAGTAAAAAATAATAACTTTGATGAAGTCAAACTTACTTGGGAAAGAATCATCTTCAACTAAATAACGGGAAAAAAATTGTCCTATTAAACCAGATCCAAATACATAGATGTACGCAGCAACTGCAAAATCAGATTCCAACGGTTCAAGGGTAATTGATGGACGTAAATTATAAACTAAAACTAGTTAAAAAAACTTGGAGGTATGACTGACCTGAAGTAATCTTGAGATCAGAGAAAAATGATGCCGCAACGAAGGCCAAGGCAATTTGCAGGTTTATGTAAATGAAATAAAAGACAAATTGTATGCTGTAGTCATTCAATGTGAAGAACTTCAATCCTTGAGGTCAAACAAAAAGCTTTATTTAAGATATTGCATAACAGCAGATGTAAATTTCATGAGCTTTAGACATACTTACCAATAAGAGAGCCAAATATCACAAAACATAACATATAAACTGATGAAAGTACAAAAAAATAAGCATAAGATATTAGCCAGTATGGTCCATCCTTGAGACCGTGCATCTTCATCATTATTTTCAACTTCTGTTGCTTCTCGTAAACAAGATATGTCAGCATAACCTGCATCCAACCAGAAAATGAGTACAATGCAAGAAAAAAATGTTTTTCAATCATTAATAAAGCCTTAAATTTAAATTGAATGTTGATGTGAATCAGAATATAAGCTGATAAATACATATTGAATGAAACACATAGTACTCACGGGAAAAAGTAACTGAACAATCCATGTAAAGAATAATGCACCGAGGAGTGCAGAAAAATTGAGCCTGATTCGTGTTTCGGACTTTGGCATTTCTTTGACATATTCAAGCCGCATCATTGTGCCATTACCTTTTATGGACTGAAGGTATGCATTGGAGACCTGCAAAATGAGATAGAAATAATGAATAAATCAGATGAAACATATTCGATCAAAGGATATATAAGCTAGGACTACCTAAACAAATTTAATATAAAACTCAGTGGTGAAAACAAGAAGTGGAGAGAGGAATTAAAAATACAACCATACAGGGATGTTAAAAGAATATCTTTAACAGGGATGTAAAAAGAACATCTTTTTTTTTTCTTTTTTTCAATATATGCTTGTAATTATCACAAAAAGCCTAATTGATGCATCATCAACACTTGTCCACAGGCCTATAAGCAAATCTCAAACAAAAACAATACATCAACAGAAAGCTCCATGATTATCATCACCAAATACAAATCTCAAAGCATGATGCAAAGCAGCCACTCTTCCCTCAAAAAACTTTATTTGGTGTTGTTTTGGAAAGCATGAAGTGATCCCCAATTCCATCGCTAGCTCCCCTCGCACAAAGGAAAGAACATTGTAGAAGATTGCTTGATAGAAGAAAACCATTTCACTTGACAATTTCGGCTTGCCTAAACTTTGCCAGTAAGGAAACCTATATATTGTAATTATTTTTGTTTATTTGATTTCCCTTAATAGTCAGGATTTTATGGTGGGTGTTATTTTTTATTTTATTTTAATTTTTCGAGTTCCATATATGCAAATTCCCCTTAATATATATAGAATTAATAATTTAAAATCTGAAACCATTGACTTTCTCCCTCAAATTCTCGTATCCCAAATTCCCAAAAACCTCAACACACAAAGAAGTAAGGAAGTCAATGTGTGAAAAAGAAGAAGAGTTTGTGAGATTTACTTGTTTAAGTTAAATTCACCTAATACCACGATTTACTAAATCCTGATTTTAAGGTATAATGCGGAGAAATGAGATTTAAGATTACGTAGGATTAAAGTTTTCATTTCAGCTGTTTGATAGGATTTAGGTTATATCCTGCTCAAATCCTGCTACCAAACAAGTCCTTCAAATGGAAACCAAAAACCTAGCTCTTTGAAATATTTCAGCCGCATAAATGAATATGAATATTGAGCGCAAACGCCGAAAAGCCAAAATGAATAGGGTAAATTGCGGCTCCGCTTTTTTTTCGTTTTTTTAATAGGACACGTGTATCGGATATGCGTGTCCAGTTAAATTTAAATAATATTTTAATTGGACACGGCAAAGCCGTATCCGACACTTATTTGTGCCGTATCGGAGGCGTATCCGTATCCGACACATGTCCGATACAACACGCCTCGTAAATAGGAGTATCCGTGCAACATAGTGAATACTTAATAGAACCCTTGAGGACTAGTTTTGGTTTAGCAGTCTATAATAAAATCTAATAGTTAGATGAGCGAAACTTTAATTATTAAAAAAATGTTAGAACGTGAAAATGAGTAATGACCCAAACTTTTTGGAACGTTTCTAAAATTGACAGCTTTGGTGAGTTAAATCTAATTCATTCATATTGCTAAGAAATACTCTGTTCAATGAACATAACTAATAATGACTAGGACTAAACAAAAATGGAAAGTAATGTGTACCATATTAACCGAGCGTAGCATACGAACTAGTGCGACACTCACGTATGATGTGGTGCATCAATCTTTAGGCGCCATTTCAAGTATTATTTAAACTTAGTTTTATTTATTATATTAGCTTAACTAAAGTAAATGCAGGATTAGTTAGTAGTGGCTGCTCCACTAAGTTTATTGCCTCTAATAGCCGAGTGCAGGTCTGTGCCTGCCTGCGCCTTTTCTCTTTAGTGCTATTTTTGCTTCTTCTTCCCTGTATTTCTTCTCTACCGAGAAGATGAATCAGTTAGTTGATGATATACAAACTTTGGCTAGTGCCATTACTGTTACATTGCCTTCCTTAGTTAAACTACTTGTGAACCTGCTTCTTCCTTCGTATACCACATCAGTTTGGTATCAGAGCCAGCGGCTTGGAGAGATGGCAGAGTCCAGCAAGCGTGCGACGAGCGAAGACAACCGAAGTCTGGAGGCGCTTTGGGCTGCGCACGCTGGAGTCGAGAAACGGTTGGATGAAATAGCAGCGGCGGTGGAGCGTCTCACCGCTGCGTTTCGTCGTGAACCACCTGTGGCGCGAATGGGAGAAATACCGTTGCGAACGGGAAGGCCTGTACCACCGATCATCACACCTCCTGAAGATAACAGGGGATTTCAGACTCGTGGTCGACGACGACCAACATTGCCTCCGGAGTTCTCAGATTCAGAGGAGGATCGAGGAAGTCAGCTGCCGGAAGGATTTTCAGATTCAGACGCAGAACTTGGAGACCGTCGCCCCCGGCGGTATAATGCGCGAGACCGACATCAGGGAGAATTCCGGGTGAAGTTGGATATCCCATTCTTTGATGGGAGGCTACACATCGAGGATTATCTCGATTGGGAGAGGTCAGTAGAAAACTTCTTTGATTATATGGAGATTGAGTCGGAAAAACAGGTCAAGTATGTGGCGTGTCGACTTAAGGGGGGGGCTAGTGCTTGGTGGTCACAGTTATTGCAATGCCGCCGGCGAGAGGGACGCGGACCTGTTCGCAGTTGGGTGAGGATGAAGCAGCTGTTGCGTACTGTCATTCCTGTAGGTTGAATTGTACCAAATATTAACATTGAAAGCATTCTCACTAGTGTTTGAGAAGTCAAAAGCTGCACGTGGTAAATGAGACTTTCAGAATCAAATCATTTAGCGAACATGAAAACTAGCAATAGTAATCAAAGAGCTAAAGATAACCTGCAACAAATTCATTAGACTTTCGATCTGCATTTGCTTGCTGATAACCTTTGTATAATTCATTATTTACTTCTGATGCATTATCAAGCCACAAAGATAAGCCCTGTACGCATTTCACATCTGTTCCGATAATGAAGGACGGAGTTAGGATTTACCGGAAAATATCCTACTCAGCTACTATCACCGAGTTCGTAAATATGCATAATTAAGTGGTCAGTGACTTACTTTAGTGATTGTTAGTAACAAAAATCAACAAAATTAGGCCCAGTAACTGTTCGATTTACAGAAACAATGATCTTGAGACAAACAACGCAAAGCAAATCTAATCTCTTTTATGCAGGATCTCAAACAGACAAATCATTTAAATAATACTAAAAGAAACGTATCAAAGATTAAGCCCTAGTTCATGTTCAGGCAAGCATCCAGACGATTTTTTCTTTATTGCAGTGCAGTAAAGAGTTCGTTCTCTGTAAGTAAACTGCGCGCACAAAATCAAAAAAAAAAACGGAAATGCCTAAAAAGTAAGTCTACATGTAGCCATCTAATAGGAAGAAAAAGAGGTAGAATACTAACTGAAACCATCAGATTCTTCCATGACTGAAGCACCAATCAAATTATAAGCATTAAACTATAACTGGTTATTTGGTTAGGCCAGCTGAATTTCGGGAACTCTAAATCCAACTGTTTGGAATCTTATTTTAGCTCTGTTATGGATTTAATCCAACATTTTTTAGATCTCACAATTGACATGATTACATAACAATTAACAGTTGGCATACCAAGCAATTTCCAGGCCTTAATGCACTAAAGATTAACTAATCTGGATTTAAAGTTTTTACCAAATCCTACTTGAGTTAAATCTTTACTTGAAGCCAAAAAATTTCGAGAAATCGAAGGTATGATGTACCAAACCTTTCTGCAGTGTTACGTTCTCAAACTTAACAGTAACCGCATTCATCGAACTGGTCCTGCAGTGAGGTTGAAGAAGATACAACGGCGTATCAGAGGCAAAAGCAGGCTCAATAAACTGCAAAAGTCCGGTAGGAGCATCCGTCCCCTGTGACATTGCGAAATTACACAAAGAAATAACAAACAGCTATAACTACCATAACGAGAGCATCAGCTACCAATAGAACTCACAGGAGCCACTGAAGATAGAGCATCCAGATAATCCAAGGAATCCAAAGAAGTGGCTTCCCTGAAGAAATGCCCCGCTAAACCTAGAACAAATGAACATATAATTATTCATTTATAAACAAATTATAAAGAATTTTTAGCCATGAAACTGTGTCTTCTTGTAAAACTCAATAAGCATAGCAATAATTGAAGTTTTTCAATGGCTGTACTCTCGGAAAGAGTTCGATTCTGGCCCGTGATGAGCACGGTGGCGGGACACGAGCCGTTGGATCTGCAGGACTTATCCGGCCAGTCGGTGGAGAACGTCGAATCCGGCATCCGTACCGCACGGTATTCGGGCAGCGGAACTTGGAGCAGCGAAGACCATCTGGGCGGATTGGGGATGGAACAGAAGCCGACTTGGTCCATGGTAGAGTACTGGATCCCGCAGACGCGTCGACAGCTGCCGTTTCCTGCTCCGGATTCAACGCAAGCGCATCCGCAGCGGTTTTCCGGTTTATCAAGTTCTTTATCGATGATCCCTTGGAGAACGACGAGAAGGACGCAGATAAGGACCGGAAAGGATATGATGCATACGTTGTTCTTGAGGTTTCGCTTCTGCAAGGTAAGATTCTTGCGGAGGAGGGCATCGGCCTGGGTTGCGAAGCTAGCAGCTGGCCTGTGCTGAGGAGAGGATGGGGTGGAGGAGGAGGAAGGCTCCATTTCAAAGTTTGACGGAGGGAAGTCGTTTCGCGCGCCCTTCTCCCCTCCGCCTTTCTCTCGAATCCCTCTGATTTATATAATTTATAGGAAAAACAAAATATGCCCTTCTTGCATCTTTTTTTTTATATGTCCAATAATTATTTTATGATACCGAATTTATATTTGTGAATACCATAAGCAAAATTTTAAAAAGGAGCAGATTAATAATTAAAATTAATTATAAGAGTAAAATCGGGTGATAATTAAAAAACAGCAAAACCGAAATTTTATTTTTTATTATTTATTATAAGAAAATCATTTAATAATTTATTATAAAACAAATAATTAAATAACAATTTATTGGAAACCAGAAAAAAGTTTGAGAGAAACTTAAGTAATTTTTTTATTTTATAACATTTTTTATGAATAATTATTTTTTAGGTTTATTTAAAATAAAAATAAAAATGCAAGCAAAATTACATATTTGGGTATCCCCCTTTCTTTCTACAAGCTCAAATTAGAAGACTATTTGCCTCTCTTGGATAGCCTAAATAGGAAGTTTAATGGATGGAAAGCCAACTTGTTGTCTTTTGCCGGGAGGTTATAATACTTGAAATTTACTATCCAAAACACCATTGCATACTGGATTAGGGGTGCCATTTTGTCAAAATCAGTGCAGAAATTTTTTAAAAAAACCAGTTCTAGGTTTTTATTTTTTGGGGACATTTCGGCTAACAAGAAAATGCATATGATTGCTTGGGATAAAGTTTGCTTGCCAACTGCTAAAGGCGGTTTGGGCATTCCTTCTTTATCTGCTATGCAATTTGCTTTCAATTGCTCTGTTATTACTCGGATTTACAATTTCTCATCCCCTTTAGCTATTTGGCTATTTAGAAAATACTCCTCTCCCTGGAAGCCCCCTCACGTCTCGGCCTCTAAAATCTGGAAGTCTATTTGTAATACTGCTTTGCAGGCTAAATCTTGTTTTAATTTTAAAATTGTGCCTAATGCCCCTATATCACTTCAATGGGATCATTGGTTTAACAAATGCACTCTACTTGACCACTTTGGAGATGTGGACCTTGCCTCTCTTTCGGATCTGACTATTAAAGATATCATGTTGAATAATTCCTGGGTGCTTCCTGACAACTTCTCCTCACAGCTTTGCGCTGTGTTTGCTGGCATTAGAGAAATTGGTTGTGATGGCCCCTATCTTCTCTGGAAAGACCGAACCAGTTTTTGCTTTAAAAACTTTATTGTGGAATTTTACTCAGATTATCCGACCTGTAACTGGTATTCTATGGTTTGGCACAAAAGGCATGTTATTAAACACTTGGTTTATGTATGGCTTGCTCTGAAGGGTGCTCTCAAAACTACAGATGCACTATCCATTAGGAACATTCATATTCCAACTATTTGCAGCTTATGCAATCAACATGACGAAACTATATCCCATTTGTTTTTTGAATGTTCTTACTCCTTCTCCATTCTAAATGCTATGCTCCCGGGCATGAACTCTTTTCTTTTAAAGCCTAATATTCTGCAGTTATTTGATTGGTTAAATAGAAAATTCAATAGTAACAAAGAGCTCAAATGCTTCTATTTGCTGAATATTAGCACTGTGATTTATTACTTGTGGAAAGAGAGGAATAGTAGGAGGTATGGGAACAATTCGCAATGTTACACCTCTCTGTTGTTTGGCATTAAAAGAGTTCTTTTTGAGAAGATTTTGAAATGGAAAAATTCGCTGAAATTATTGGAAATTTTATAAGGAGGACTTCTCGGTCATCTTTGATATGTCCCTGTGCCACTTGGTCCCTCGGGTATTTGATGTATGGCCATGCCTGGACGATGATGAAGCTCCCCTTGTTCATCCCTAGGATGGTTTACGAGCAACCAGGGATAAGCCCCTCGATTCCTTGTTATTTTATGAGTCCAGGCAACTGGGCTCGGGAGCTGGTTTTACTTCTATATGCTGTAGGTTTTCTTCCCGCTGGTGCTGGAGCTGGAGCTGTAATATGTTCGGGTCACTAGGGACTTTCTTTTGGCTGGTGATCCTGATGTCACGGGGCGTGGAATGCTCATTTTGGTGATACTGCAGATGCATTAACTGTTGTTTTTTTGCTTACTGCCACGTTTTGGCGCTTAAGTTGATTTTTTGATTGTATTTGGGCAGTATAGTTGGGGTTTCTTTTCTTTTTTCTCAACATAAGATTTTGTTCCTGCTTATGTTGGGAAGTTATTTTTCTTTCATGTATCCTTTATTTTCCTGTATTGTTTCTTCTTTATTGAAATAAAAGGGCTTTTGCCCCAATTTTCCCCAAAAAAAAAAAATTTGATGGCAACAAATAGGTCAAAAAGAAGTTAATTACAGCACAATTGCTCCCTCTCTCTGGAATCAGTAAATGCTAAAGAAACTTCCCAATTTAAACTAAAGAGTTACAAATGAAAATTTGAATGGCAATAGCTCCCTATAAAAATGAACGCCCGACCTGCTCCTACTTTCGAAGCTTCCCCCCATTTTTATGTGCTCCGAAAAGCTAGCAGATCATGGAGCTGCAGAGCGGAGCTCAGCTCTTCTGGCAGCAATTCAAGGCGCTGATGAAGAAAAACAAAATCCTCACATGGAGACACAAACGATCAGCTTTCCTCCAGCTTTTCTCCTCGTTTTTCTTCATACTCCTCATCTTCTGCATTGATAAGGCGGTGCGGTCGCGGTTCTCCTTCTTTACGGCGTTTGATAGCGTGTTGGATCCGAAGGCGGTGGTGTCGCCGCCCATTCCGCCTTGCGAGGAGAAGTTCTTTATCAAGGAGCCATGCTTCGATTTTGTTTGGAGCGGCAATAGCAGCGCCAGGATAAGAGGGATCGTAGCGGCGATTATGCGGAACAATCCAGGTCGGCCGATTCCTTCTTACAAGGTTAGGGTTTTTTGTTGTTTTTTCTTTAGATTTGCTTCAATCTCTACTTGTTTTTTTTTTTTTTTTTTTTTAATCGGGGCTTGAAGGGTGGAAGATGGGAGAGAATGAGAGATAGATAAATTAAATGATTTAAAAAGTTATAATCGATGAAATATTTTGTCAATAGCTTAAAAATAATAATTATCAATTTTCATATAATGACATATTGCTTTCTCTATTATTCATAATCTATAAGAAAAAGACATATATAACTATTTGATGACAAACTGACAATGCAAATTTTTTTTTTTTTTTGATGTTACATAAAAAATAAAATATCTAACCATAATTTTAAAGATGTTTCTTTGATAGATAAAATTAATAAAGACAATAGATTTATTGGACTTTAGTATTTAGACGTTAATTAATTAATTATTAAATTACTATTTAGATGTTATTGTTTAAAATTTTATTAATTTGAAATGAAGAAATTTGAATGTTTGAGATTTAAAATAATATAAGTTAAATAAATTGCTACTATTTATATGATAATAAATAAAAGTCATTTTCATTATAGTAGTGTAAATTTTAGAAAATTAAAATAATATTTTTTTATTAATTAACTAATAATACAATTATTTATTAAATATAAATATATCATTAACTTTCATAACCGACATTTCAAAGGCTAAAAATTTAAAATTAAAAAATAATTAATAAATTAATTCTTGAAATTTAAAACCTTAAAGTAAATTTTTAGTATAATAATTAAAAATTTTATACTAAAAAGTTATTTTAAGCAACAGTAAAAAAACCGTCCCAAATGAAGCCTTAAAGTTTAGACAAATATCAAATCAAATGAATTCTTTCAATATGAAGAATATCTTGATCAAAGTCAAACTAAAATAAATCTAATGCCCTAAAATTGAAATGCTATGATAACATTTGGCTTTGCCTCTTACGGAGAAGGTTGATAGTGTTATTGTGGATTTGGATGCTTCTGTGCATGATTTGGAGGCTTTTTCTGTTGTGCCTCTTCAAGCTGAGGCGATTGTGGATGAAGAGAATGATCAGTGCCTTATCAATAAGGTTTTGTTGGATGTTTAATTTCAGCTAATGAAACTAATGTTACCTCTGTTTTGCTTACTTCTGATCCTGCTCAATTTTCTCTTCCTTTGCAACCGAATGGAGAACCCTTTATTGAAGTTTTTGTCTCTCTTAACTCCAATGAAGAATTGAAAGTTCATTTGAAGGATAATTTGAAAGGTAGCGTTTTGGATCAAAATGATTGGTTGGAGGATTCTACCTCCTCATATGAGGAAGATAGTGGTGAACCTGAGGTTGATTTAAATGAGATGTATGTTTTGTAGGTTGGTAATCATGTTGCTAAAGATTTCTCGTGTGGGAGGGGCAAACGTGGCTGGAGGAAGTCCAAATGGTAGTTTTTGGATTGCTTTTTTGATTAGTTGTCGATGGTGTTTTGTTGGGGCTTACTGGTTAGACTAAGATTTTGGGTGTTGTTGTTGGTTTCTCTTGCTTTTCTGGTGGTGTTTCTATTTTGGATGTTGCTTGGACAATGATGAGACTGCCTTTGGCTTCCTCGTGTTGGCTGTGGCTAGCTGGCAACCTTGGTGGGTTCCTCTGATGTGTTGGTTGGCACGTTGGATTTTTCTCCCCAATGGATGGCCCTTGCCTAGTTGATTGGGGAATGTTGTTTGCAGCATTTCCTGATTCTGTTTGTTGGCTTGCCTTTTCTCTGGTTTTGATTCTTTATCTGTTTTTGTTGGTTTGTTGCAGTACTTTCACTTCCTATCGAATAAAGTTTATTTAAAAAAAAATTGAGGAATCAATTATTCTCCAAATTTTACTTACATCAAGTTGAAATAAGCATATCGAAGAGACAAATCTGGCATGACTAAAATTGCTCAATTTTGATATCATTTAAGCTTCATTTGAGACGGCTTTTTCCTGCTTCTTAAAGAAACATTTGCTTTAAGGCAACAAAAAAGGCATCTCAAACGAAGCCTTAGTCTCTAAGATGTTAAAAAAATATTATATGATAGAGAGAAATTAATATGGATCGTGTGATGGAGTGTTCCAATTTTTAATTAAAATAATTAGAATGTCTCCTCCATGAATTTAGAAATAAATCATGTTTTTGCTTATTCTTGGGAGGCACCTAAAAATTTCCAAAAGATAGAATCTTGAGCTCTATTTGCTAGCACTGAATGTTGTTAACAATATGAACATTCAATGTCGACAATAACATCCAAACTTGATGTTCAACTTTGCCAACAACTAATTTTATTGAGGCCATATGTTGCATTTACGATCGTTGACTAACATCATCACTAAGGCTAAAATACAATGCGGCCGCAAAATCTAATACCAGATGTCACCATTAACCTTGGCACTCAACATTGACACCATCACAAATAACCATTATTTTCATCATCATTGATGCTCATTATTGTGACAAGAGTCGATGTACAATGTCCTTACTAAGGTCCATGTCTAAGTCTAACATTAACAAATAATATTGAGTCCATTTCTTGCATATATGTTTGATATATTCTTAATAAATTATTTTGATCGAGCACAAATCTCGAGGCAATATCAAGCCGGAAATTTCAAAAGTTAAATCCGGATGCACCTGAACTCCGATTTCAGTGAGCCTATAGTCAAACTGAGCGTCTCGGAAATACGAACGCAATGACACCAAACTCAACTCAATCTGAGCCCAAATGAGCCCAAATCAAGCACCTGAAATGTGTCAAAAAGTTCATACCACAATTTAAGTTACCAAACGGTTTCTGATTTTAACGAGCTTATGGTCGAATCGAGCGGTTCGACGAGACGAGTCCAACGAGCCCAAGATTGCTGAATTCTGACATCATTAAGACCTTCAAATGTCTGACAAACAGTGCACGATCTAGGGATTCAATATCAACTGTCTATTCGACCACTACCTATTTACCCTTGATCTCACACTTATTTACGAGCTATGCCACTCCAGAAAATCTATAAATAGCAAGAAGAGGAGACGAAGAAGAGAATGATGAGGAAATAACTCCTCGACCACCGCCGGAGTTCTTCCCGCTGCCTGAGTGACGCCGGAATTTGGCCGAACATCCGGGTGACGCCGGAATTCTTCCTAAGTAACATAAAAGTTATACTCGACGCCGGAATTGAGTCCAACTTTTGGACGACACCAGAATTCTGCCCAACCTCCTTAGTGACGTCGGAACTCTGCTCAACTTTGTAATTGAATCTCAACTTAGAAGAAATTCATTGTAATATGACCGTCCTAACTTTGTGGATGAGTCAGCCTCTTATATTTCAAACAAAATACTAGTTGAACTATTTCAAGTGGGCGAGGCCCCGTGATTTTTTCTCTTTCAGAGTTTCCACGTAAAAACCCTGGTGTTTCCATTTCTTTTCTGTTTGTGTGCTGGATATTCATACAACGCTGAGACGGAAATTTACTAACTCTATCGCCGTGTATATTCTAGCCCGCAACAATGTTTATGAATAATTAACCTATAAATTTTTTTGGTTATACAACTCATTTTGATTTGGTGCTTGTAAGTTTTGATTATCAATTAAAAAGTTTTAGTATAATCATATATATAATGTGTAAATTTCTCTAAATTGAGTTTTATAAAAAAAAAAATTTCTTGGAGTTTTACTACTGTATTAAATATAAAACTGCCGTATCTTTACATTTTCTACATTTTTTTCGGGGATGACAGAGCGGATCACTTGGTTGCCGGGCCCGGCCGTCCTCCCCATCAGAGCAACTATAAAAGCAAGGCGGCGAAGCTGCATACACCAGTACACCAGAAAGCAAAATGTCTCTCCAAGATAAAATCTTTGATGACTTGACTAGCAGCAGCCTTAATAACCTTTCCAATTCAAAACGGTTCTTCAGCTGCTCATGCCTCTTCGTCTTCTTCTTCCTACTCCTCCCATATCTACTCATCGCCATCTACCGCCGCTCTCGCCCAAGTTCTTCATATAACTATTTTAAGTACAATGGCAGAGAGCTCCCACCGGGCCCGCCTCCTCTCCCCATCATCGGATCCCTCCACGAACTGTTCGGCCAAGTAATCCACATCTCCCTCCGCCGCCTCTCCAAAGAACATGGCCCACTCATGCACTTACAGCTCGGCCAAACCTCCGCCGTGGTCGCCTCTTCCTCAGAAGTTGCTTCCGAAATCCTCAGAACACAAGACACCATTTTCTGCAGCCGCCCACGTCTCTCCGCCGTCACACACTTCTCCTACGGCGGATTAGACATCGGCGCTTCTCCTTACGGCGAAAGCTGGAAGAAACTGAGAAGATTCGGCAGCAACAAGATGTTCAATCCGGGAAAGGTGCAATCTTTCAGCTTCATTCGGGAGGAGGAAGTGGAGGTAATGGTGGGATCTATAAAGAAAAGTTCGTTGCAGGGAAAGCTGATAAATTTGAGTGAAATTGCGCTGTGTCTTTTTAATAATATAACATACAGAGAGGTTTTCAGCAAGCGCGTGTCGGCTGATGGAGAGTGCTTGTTGAGTCCTCACCATGGCCTTATTATGCGTATGATGACTTTGATGACAGAGTTCAATGTCAAAGATTTTTTCCCTTTGTTTTGGTGGGTTGATTTCTTAACTGGTTGGTGGTTTAAGGTTGAGAAGAGATTTCGGGAGATGGATAGGCTTTTTGAGAAGGAGATTGAGTAGAGATTAAGACAGAAGAGTGCCAATGTTTCTTATGGAGATTTTCTCGATGATCTTCTCAAGCGTCAAGATGAAATGGATCCTTCACTTGGCTATCTCTTCTCGCGAAAAGAGATTAAGGCTCTTCTAATGGTACGTATAAATATCAAAGAAGTTAGCTTAGAGTATAGAGAAACAGATAAAGAAGTGTTTGATCAATTCATAATTTTGCTATGCAGGACATGTTTTTAGGTGGAACAGATACGAGCTCCGTAACTCTGGAATGGGGAATGACGGAGCTGATTAAGAACCCGGCAGCCATGAAAAAAGCACAAGAAGAAGTCAGGCGAGTTGCAGGCAACAAAGGCAAAGTAGAAGAAAGTGATATCGAACATCTTCCGTATCTGAAAATGGTGGCAAAGGAAACACTACGGCTTCACCCACCAACAACCTTACTAGCTCCTCGTGAGTCCATGAAAGACACTAAGATCCATGGCTACGATTGTTGCGTCCTGGAATATTCGCGGCGGTAGAGAAATATTTAGTTTAACGTCTTAGCATTGTACGAAGATCCAGTACACAAGCAGATAAGTGAGAGGGTGTAGCATTCATAAGAGACACCAGAGTTTTTACGTGGAAAACCCCTGAAAAAAGGGGGAAAAACCACGGGGCCTGGCCCAGTTTGAATGAATCCACTAGTATTTGTAGTCGATTACAAATGAGGCCCTTCCTTAGGAGAAGGCCTTGGATTGATGTAGCAAATGTACATCATATAGATTGCATTACATGGTAAGAGTTACATATACAGGTTTGTTTGACCTGAAGGACCGTAGTCGGCAGGAGACCGTAGTCGGCAGGAGACCGTAGTCGGCAGGAGACCGTAGTCGGCAGGAGACCGTAGTCGGCTGGAGATCGATCAAATAGCGGCTGCAGGTGCGATTGTTGATACTGAAGACATAATCTTGTACATTCTCAACGGCCTGCCGCCCACTTATCAGTCTTTCAAGACTGCTATCCGAACAATGTTAACCCCGATCTCTCTAGATCAACTTTATCCACTGCTCCTCAGCGAGGAAGTGAATCTTGCTACTGATGCGTCCAAGATTGCTGGACGACCAGACAACACCATGGCTCTTTTCAATTCCAGAGGTAGAGGTAAACGTTCTCGAGGTCGTAACCCTTCAAATAATACTAATCCATCCAGGAATACAGCCGCAGCTCCCGTAACTTGTCAGATTTGCTTGAAAAGAGGTCATTCGGCTCAGGCGTGTTGGCACCGCCTTAACACTCAATATGTGCCGACATCAAGAAATACGAACACGGCTATGATAGCGGGATCTGATAACAACGACGACAATTGGTTCTTAGATTCGGGTGCCTCGACCCATCTTACCAATTCTCTGGACAACATGTCCATATCGTCGCCATATCAAGGTTCTGAGTCCGTTACAATTGGAGACGGCAGCTCTCTCAAGATCTCCCATACCGGGGCGGGCATCCTCCCGACCCCGTCTAGTAAGCTTAATCTTTCACACATTCTTCACTCACCCTCACTTCAATATAATCTTCTTTCAATTTCTCAATTGACCAAAGATAACAATATATCAATCATATTTGATCCTAATGGCTTTATTTTGAAGGACATGAAGACGGACAGGGTTATCCTCCGCGGACCGTGTAAAGGTGGTCTATATCAGATCCCGACTACGTCACAGGCGACATCTCATACAGCTCTCAAGTCAAATCCTCAATCGGCTGCTCGCTGGCATCAACGCCTGGGTCATCCTCACCGGAGGATCTTTAATATCATTTCTTCTTGTAATCCTGACTTAGCTTTAGGCAAATGTGATTTTTCTTGCAGTTCTTGTAATAGCTCTAAGACTCATAAATTGTCTTTCGAAAATTCCGATCATAGTAATAAATCTTTACTTTCTCTCATTCATTCGGACGTTTGGGGCCCGGCTCCGGTTGTCTCTAATCAAGGCTATCGCTATTACGTTATTTTCGTAGATGATTACTCTCGGTTCACATGGTTATTTCCTCTGCGTTATAAATCGGAAGTTTTTAACATCTTTGTTCAATTTAAAACACAGGTTGAGAACTACACCGCACAGAAAATTAAAATCCTTCAGTCAGATGGCGGGACCGAATATATGAATCAGCAGTTTTCCTCTTTTCTAACTCAACATGGGATTATTCATCGTCAATCCTGTCCGTACACACCTGAACAGAACGGTGTGGCTGAGAGGAAGCATCGACATATTATAGAGACAACGAGGACTCTGCTTCATGCGGCATCGCTTCCTTTCCTCTACTGGCCTGATGCTGTCTCCACGGCAGTATACCTCATTAATCGTTTACCTTCCCACACTACCAAATCCATATCCCCGTTTGAGCGCATCCATAACAGCAAACCTCATTACAATCACCTAAAGGTGTTTGGGTGCGAATGCTTCCCGCTGTCCCCGCCACACACTAGACATAAACTTCAACCAAAGGCTACCTCTCATGTTTTCCTAGGCTATTCCGAAGTTCAGAAAGGATACAGATGCCTTAACATTCATAACAACAAAATTATAATCAGCAGGCATGTCATTTTTCAAGAACAAAACTTTCCCTTCGCTGCTCTCAACACTGCGTCTACTACAACAACTTCAAATACGCCCACCTCTCCTTTTCTTCTAACACCAACGTCCATTCAACATTCCACGTCAGAAGTTCGCTCATCTCCTACACCTCAACTTCGGGCATCTCCTGTGTCCAATACCATAACGGAGATTACCAACTCTGCTCCGATTCATAATCTTAAGCCACCTGCTGAGCAGCAGTGCTCTAACGCTTCGGTTCATTCTATGACTACTCGTAGCAAAACTGGATCGTTGAAGCCAACCAACAGATTAAATCTGCTTCATACTCTTCAGTCTAGCACATCCGACCTGGATCCTACCACCTATACAGAGGCAGTCAAGAAATTTGAATGGCGTCGTGCAATGGCAAATGAATTCCTGGCTCTTCAACGTCAAGGTACCTGGAAACTGGTAAAACCACCTCCAAATGCTTCTATTCTTGGCTGTAGGTGGACGTATAGAACGAAGTATCACGCAGATGGATCTGTGGCTACTCACAAGGCAAGACTTGTGGCTCAAGGAAATCATCAACAGTACGGGTTGGATTATTTGGAGACATTCAGTCCCGTCGCAAAACTCCCAACAATTCGGATTCTTCTTGCTGTGGCTCTTCACAATGGATGGGTTGTTCAACAACTTGACGTTGCAAATGCATTCCTCCATGGCCAGCTTTCGGAAACGGTTTACATGCAACAACCGAAAGGATTTCAAGACAACAATCATCCGGACCATGTTTGTCATCTTCAGAAGGCTCTTTATGGCTTAAAACAAGCGCCTCGACAGTGGTTCACTACATTTACCAATACACTTCTCACCATCGGGTTCACTCAAAGTCAATACGATCCGTCCCTGTTTAGCTACAAGCGGGATCAGGTTTGCGTTTTCTTACTTGTTTATGTTGATGATATACTCATCTCAGGGAATAACTCGACCACTATCAAACAAATTCTGGACCAACTCAACAAGGATTTTAATATGAAGCATCTCGGCGAGGTGTCTGAATTCCTCGGTATCAAGATTACAAAACAATCAAATTGTTATTTTCTGTCCCAGGAAAGATACATTCAGCAAATTCTTCAACTAGCCAACCTCACGGACTGCAAAGAGCTTGCTAATCCCACCTGTACTAAGTTTCCTGATGCTTTCAATCCCGAAATTGAAATTCACGATCCAAATACCTACAGGCGACTGACGGGCTCTTTACAATATCTCACAATTACGCGTCCGGATATCTCATACAGTGTCAATTTACTGTCACAACATATGCACAATCCGGAACCTCAACATATCTATCTTCTCAAACGCTTGCTTCGGTATCTCAAAGGTACGTACAAATACGGGTTACCTGTAACCAACACTAATCTCATTCTTCAATCCTTTTCAGATGCCGACTGGGCCGGTGATCCGGTGTCGCGCAAGTCTACTTCGGGATACTGCTCATTTCTTGGGAATACACTCATTTCCTGGACAGTAAAGAAACAACACACTATTTCCAGGTCGTCAACTGAGTCCGAGTATAGAGCATTGGCGGCACTCACGGCAGACGTCCTATGGCTACGTAGGTTGCTGACAGAGTTCGGTATTCCTCAACTACAGCCAACCAATATATATTGCGACAACAATTCTGCAATTGCGTTGGCTAACAACCCGGTCTTCCATGCTCGCACCAAACATATAGAGATTGATCAGAAATTCGTTCGAGAACATATACAAAATCAAAGTATTTCGGTCCTTCCCATCAGTACAACAGATCAGGTCGCAGATATTCTTACAAAAGCGTTATCTACTCCTAGGTTTCAAAAACTTCGTCACAAACTGACGGTTAGCCCTGAATCATCAGTTTGCGGGGGAGTATTAGAGCATAAAACGTAATTAGTAATAATCTGTTTTATTATTAGGTTCTTTAGTGTTGAGCTGTAATATTCCCATTGGTTTACACTTTCTGTACCACAGCTACCTAGTCTATATATAGGCGGTACTCATCTCTGTAATAAAACTTCTTCTTGAATGAATACAATTTCCTTTTCAGTCTTGTCTTTTACATTTTGCATTTCGCTCTGTATCCATTGATTTCTTCAGAGCCTGAAATGTCAGGCGAGATTCGAGGCGGGAACGTGAAGTGTCGAGCGGGAATGCAGATACCTGATGGGATTTCAAGTTTAGACGCGGGCATGTGTGCATGGATGGAGTTCGGACTTTAGACATTGGAGACAGCAGGATAGAGGTCGAACACGATCACTACAGGATGAAGGGCATGCTGGGATGCGAATGCAGGCGGGAACTCTTGTTCGGACGTGGGTGTTAGCGGCACGGAGCTTGGATGTGGTCACGACTGGATGGTGGTAGCGGAGGCAATGGAACTCGAACAAGCTCGTTTCAATGGCATGTGTCGTGCTC